GCGGGTGGTTCTGGGACATAAACTGAAGAACCATTTTCAGAGACTATTCAGGGGAGCAAATGTGGTTTGAATGCCGGGAAACATCTGGGTATCGTGGTGGAGAGGTCTTTCACAGCAAATCATAATGCTACAGCTCAACTTGCGGGCTGAGACCCCTTTGGGGGTCACATGTCAGTTATTCCACATATCAGACATTTACACTACAGTTCATAACAGTAGCCAAATTACAGTCACAAAGCAGCAAAGAAAAACAACTTTATGGTTGCAGGTCACCACAACATGAGGATCAGCATTACAGGGTCACGGCGTTACAAAGATGGAGAACCACTGGCCTAGATGATTGTCCCTTCTTTCTTCCCCCGTCCCGAAATTCAAGGGAGGGACAACCCTGTCCTATAAGTCGGGTCCTCACCTTCATGCAGCTTCTGCTTTTCCTCCCTCTCATGTAGCGTTTTCCTTTATTATAATGCCACCACATTCCCCACTTGGGTCGTGAGCTCTCCATCTTCTCTACTGAGAACAAAGACCTTGGCTGAAGTAGCAAAAATCACGCCGAAAAAAAAAAATCAGCTTCAAGCACAAGGCTGAACAGTCTATGGAGAGAAGAGATATTGTTGCCTTCTTCCTGATTTAAAAAGAGACTTTTGGGATTTTTTTTATTGTTGAATATAATGTTAATGTCAGTCTCAGTATATCATCTTATTCAGATGGAAAAATGTCTCTCTTCCTACTTTTCTGTGACCATTCATAATTAATGGGTTTGGCACAGAAACAGCTGACCTGAACAAGGGGGAGCTCATGGACCCCAGACTGATAGCTGGGAAGCTAGCATAGGACTGACCCAGACCCCCTGAACGTGGGTGTCAGTGAGAAGGCCTTGGCAATCTATGGGGCCTCTGGTAGTAGATCAGTATTTATCCCTAGTATCTGAATGGACTTTGGGAGTCCATTCCACATAGAGAGATAGTCTCTCAGCCTAGACACACGGGGGTGGACCTAGGCCCTATCCCAAAGGATATGACATAATGTGAAGATCCCCCATGGAAGGCCTCACCCTCCCTGGGGAGCTGAAAGGGTTGGGATAGGAGGTTAGTGGGGGGCAGGGAAGGAAGGGAGGGAGAGGGAACTGGGATTGACATTAAAACAAGCTTATTTCTAATTTAAATAAAAATAAAAAGAAACACCACATAATTAATGGGTTTGGGAAATTGACATTTCTTTATCTATGTGAATGTCTTCTTCATCATGTTTGCTTTCATTTTTTTTCCTTGTTGATGTAATGGATGGTTTTAGTTTCTGAATGACCCAGATTTACAAGCCTGTGCTAACCCACTGTTCATGGTGTATAAATATTTTATACATATTTGATTAAATTTGCTATACTAATAATTGTATCTTTTTCTTATCCCTCCCTGCTGAACTATGCCCTTCTGTCTAATGGATTTTGGGCAAGGTGAATTCATTAACGATAGTTGTGAATCCATAAGAAGCTAAGCTTCAGTAGACAGCTAGAAACCAGTGGTCATACAGATGATATTTGTTAAACTTAGTGGGTTTCTAGACCAAACAGCAGAGATAAATTATGTTCTCGAGTGACTCAGATACAGGTACTAAACACCTACAATACAATGAGGATGAAGAATGCAATGAAAAGAACAGAAGAAACCTAGCAACTTTGCAGTAGTCTTTGGGCTTAAGGATACCTGGTATACCTGAAGAAGTCAGGCAAAGGTTCCACATATATTTTTTCACACACATAGTCTCCATCTTTCTTTTAGATACTGTCTTAGTCACTGATCTAATGCTGTGAAAAGACACCACGACCAAGGCAACTCTTTTTTTTTTTGAGGCAGGGTTTCTCTGTATTGTTTTGGAGGCTGTCCTGGAACTCACTCTGTAGACCAGGCTGGCCTCGAACTCACAGAGATCCTCTTGCCTCTGCCTCCGAAGTGCTGGGATTAAAGGCATGTGCCACCAATGCCCAGCCAAGGCAACTCTTATAAAAGAGGGTATTCAATTAATTGAGGGCTGACTTACAGTTTTAGTGCTTTAGTCCATTATCATCATGGTGGGTCACACAAGGTGCTGGAGTAGTATCTGAGAGCTATATCCTGGCCTGCAGGCTGAGAGGATGAGTAAAACTGGGAAACAGACACCCACAGCTAAACACTGAGCTGAACTCCTGGAATCCAGTTGCAGAGAGGGAGGAGTGATGAGCAAAGGGGTCAAGACCAGGCTGGAGAAACCCACAGAAACAGCTGACCTGAACAAGGGGGAGCTCATGGACCCCAGACTGATAGCTGGGAAGACAGCTTAGGACTGATCAAGACCCCCTGAACATGGATGTCAGTTTGGAGGTCTGGGTAATCTATGGGGCCTCTGGTAGTAGATCAGTATTTGTCCATATTATATGAATGGACTTTGGGAGCCCTCTCCACATAGAGGGAAACTCTCTCAGCCTATAAGACTCTTCCTGACCCCCTGAAGGAGGAAGTCAGTCTGGAGGTCTGGACAATCTACCGGGCCACTGGTAATGGAGCAATATTTACCCCTAGTACACAAATGAACTTTGGGAGACCTCTACTAATCGAGGGACCCTCTCAAAGCCTAGACACACGGGGGAGGGTCAAAGCCCTGCTCCAAATGATATGACAGACTTTGAAGATCCCCCATGGAAGGCCTCACCCTCCCTGGGGAGCAGAAAG